TGGCAGGCCCGCTTCACGAGCGCCCGCCATGACCGTTACCCGCCAACTCGCCCTGCTCGCCGCCTTGGTGGCGTCCGCCGCCTTTGGGCCTCAGGACGCGCCCGCGCAGGCGGTCGATCCCTTCGTCGAGGCGGCTCGGGTCGCCCAGCGGCCGACCGAGTCGGTCTATGGCGGCGTCCAACTGACCAGCGCGAACGTCGGCGCCGGCTACCCCGTGTCGGACTACCAACCCGAAGTCTACTCGGGCGCCGAGTACGGCCAGCCGGCGGCGCCTTGTTTGTCGCCGGAGATGGTCGGCCCAACGGCGACGTGGGGTTACGCGGCGCCGGCCAACAGCTGGGGCTGGCAGGTGCTTCCCGACGGCCTCATCTATCGGAGTTACCAAGCCGGCCCGCGCGAGTCGCGGCTCGGCCTGCACACGTTCCAGAATAGCTACCCGGCCAACGGCGCCTACGCGGGTCAGAAGAGCGAGTGGGCGTGGGACGCGACGCTCGGCGGTCGGAAGGGCGTCATCCGCTACGGCAACTTCGACGACTGCAACCCCGTCGGCTGGCAGCTCGACTTCGAGGGCGCCACGATCGTGCGGCTCAATCTCGACGAGGCCCGCGACGTGGACGCGTCCGACTTCCGTTTCGGCGTGCCGCTCACCTACACGGCGGGCGACGGCGTCGCTTACAAGATCGGCTACTACCACCTCAGCTCGCACCTCGGCGATGAGTTGATCGCTCGCACCGGGAGTAATACGCGGATCAATTACGTCCGCGACGCGATCATCGCGGGTGTGTCGTACCAGATGTTCCCGAGCCTGCGGGTCTACGGCGAGACGGCCTACGCGTTCTTCACCGCCGGCGGGGCCGAGCCTTGGGAGTTCCAGTTCGGCGCCGAGTTGTCGCGTCCCGGACCGACCGGATTCCGCGGCACGCCGTTCCTCGCCACCAACGCGCACCTGCGCGAAGAGGTCGATTTCAGCGGCGACTGGACCCTCCAGACCGGCTGGCTGTGGCGTGGCGACACGGGCAGCACCCTGCGGCTGGGCCTGCACTACCTCAACGGCAAGAGCAACCAGTACCAGTTCTTCGATCGCAATGAAGAGCAGATCGGGTTTGGGCTGTGGTGTGATTTTTAGGGCTTACGCCCGGGGTTAGGGGCGAGGGGCTACGGACGCCGGCAGGCAATGGCCTGCCCTACGGTCTGTGGCTTGAGTCCAGACCGGCCAGCAGCGAAGCTGCTGTTTGGGTCCCCCGCCCCCTTCAGGGGGAGGGGCTAGGGGAGGGGGAGAA